GGGGGGGGGGGGGGGGGTATCTATCGTAAGTCAAGCTGTACGGCACAACAATTTTTCCTTTGTAGCTCACCTGCACCCGGTCCGCATCATACCACAACGTCAGCCCTTCGATAGTCGTCGTGTACTCCGCAGAGTTGCTGGCCGGGAGATACCTTTCCCGGAGCTGCTTCCCAAGGTCGTAACACTGCTCCTCGCCCACGTTGGTGAGCTGTAGATCAGATCGGGAAACGAGCAAAAAAGCGAAGGTCCAGCCATTCTTCGGTCAAACACCGTGATACACGGATTCCCACCATGACGTCGCAGCGTGCCGCGGCGCCCTTGGCTCACCAAGGCCAACACCATTTCACGCCCAACACAACAAAACAACTTCACGCCAACTGGCCACTTACCGTTAGCGCCCGCACTTTACAAGTTGCCAGTCAAGAAATTGGGCTTCGAAAACTAAGGACTTTGGCACCATTCTTGAGGTCGGTTAAGAACCCCTACACTACAACCTACATAGCGGCCATTCGTAGCATGACCCTAGGAAAACGGTAAGAACCCACCCCAGCCTCAGCCAACACTATAAATAGAGGTTCGTGAGTGCGGGCGTCAGCTTTACTGGTATTGGCGGTTGGAGGAGTCGTAAGATGTCATGGCCGTCTCGGGCCACCACCACCACAGCCATCTATCGTGGAAACCCGTTACTCTATCTACTGCCACACCAAAAGGAAGCGCGGGTAGTGTTTTGTTGTGTTTGTGAATCGAATCGAATCGAATCGGTGTCACAGTAGTCAAAACCCAAACGCCCCAGCTTCACTCCATCACCGAGGTTATCAAAAAACACGGATATCCCACGTCATGGCTGCTGAACAACACCGTAGCAGCCGAGACCATCGTCCACAGCAAGCGCTATTCTTCGCTCGAGTCCACTGTTATCGAGGAATTCAACGCGCATGTTCATTTTTTTACGCGTTTCCTAGTCGCCGTCACCAGAGGCGAATTCTTGCACGACAATCACACGACCACACGTGGCCCCACAACACGCTTGTTACCAAAACAACTCATCACCTTGCACACATCCGCGCAAACACTCCAACAATCGAATAGTAAAACAAAAACCTAAAGTACAGAATTACTGTTCCGTGGAAAATTTTGGCAAATGGTGGGAGACAAAAAACGGTGTAGGTACAGTTCATGTATGGCAGAACAGGATGATGCCAGAAACGGCTTGCAAACACTCACGATTGAGGTTGTTGCTTACCAGGACATCAATAGGAACCGCACATCAGGAATGGAATCATCAATGAAGACAGCCCGAACAACAAAAGACGCGACAAGCGTGCGGACCTTCTTTCCTATTCAAAGAGAGGTACGGACAAAAATAGCCCAGTTCCAGCCGGTTTTTCCTCCCACTCACTGCCGTTAAGACTTGACGGTGGTTATATCTCGAAAGGGTAGTCTTTCTGCGATGGCATGTGGTTGCTGTTGCCGTTGTCTTCCCATAAAAAACCGTTCCAACCTCTCCACCCAGCACCTTCATCTGCAAGTACTGAGCCAACATCTGTCGATTCCCGTGGCCATAGGCGAACTTTCCCTAAAGTCGGCATTCTCGAACAAAACGGACCCCAAAGGATCCGTAAGCCGATTGAAATAACAACGGCAGATAGTCTGGAGCCCTCCGCTCCTCCCCTCTACACGCCGTGTGGGGGGGTATAATTCCGAAGATGGTCCAACACCATCTCACCACCACGCCATCGCTGTCGCCGAACTCTGTCTCCGTGTCCTTTCTCAGCCTCGTGCGCTCCCCATGCCGCATGACCACATGCGTGTGGACCACCCTATAGTCGCTCGGGATGCCTGCGTCCGCCGCGCCGACCTCTCCCGCGAGCATCGCCACCACCAACGCCGCCACTGCCGCTAGGACCGAGCGCGACGATAGCGACGAAAAACGCGCGGCGGGATTGCTCATCCTGGCGTTGCCGCTCGGTCGACCCGGTTGTTGCCCTTGCTGCTGCCGTCGCCGCTGATGCTGCCGCTGCTGCCTACACGCCGTGTCTCCTCCGCCGCTCTCAACCATCGCTCGTGCAAACATCGAGGATTGACAAGGTTTTGCAGGCTGCTCCTGGGGAAGCGGTCATCGACGCCGTCAGGGCAAGCGGTAAAGGGGTCCGCGGTAAGGGTCACATGGGCACGGAGAAGGGCTTGGTGTCCCCAACCCTTTTCAAAAACGAAAGGAACGCGCAGTTCACCTCATGAGAGCATACGAACACATCGTGAGACCGCTAACTTATTGCTGCAACGATCGTCGAACGTGCTGCGGGGTGCAACGGTGGGGAATATCGCACATGAACAGTGCGATGGTACAGCCGGCTGCAACAGCCGGCAAAACACGACCCAAACCAACTCCTCAAACATGTCCAGCAGTCAGCAGCGTTGCAATGAGGCCCATGGAACACCTTCAGAAATGGCCACGAGCCTACCTCCGAAAGCACACTGGGAAAATCAAGGCCTGGAAGCACACCAACAGAACGTGCCCAGGCTGCAAGCGAAGTCGCCCAGGAATCGGGCGGTGTATTACTTCCCAGGTACGGGACAAAACTGATAACCGCCTCTGTCGTACGTACTGCGAGGGATCGACATGAAAGACCCGGAGTTCCTCACGTAACCACCTTTTCGGGTTGTGTTCCCATCGGTGTTCTTTGTTTTCACCACTTGAAATCAGCGCTCACAGCACTCCCGCCGGGTGGTGTGTGTGTGTGAACGTGTAATTTTAGGGGGGAGGATCCACCACATCGTCCTGTGGTCCGGAAAACAGCCATGACGTGCATAAGGCTACGTATGTTCACGTATTTTCCTGCATGGAGCAACACGAGCGCCACCAAATGAATATATACGCGATCGAACGCAGGGATTGTGGTGCGAGTTCGCAGCACTTTTCACGCTGCCGCTAGTGACAAGAGGTCTTCTTTCGTGGTTCTGGTTCGGATGCTTTGTCGCAGGCAAAAGGTTGCAAGCTCTCTCTCCTGCCCCTCCATCCGGCTTCGCCTCATGACCAGCAAAGAAAGAACAAACGCGTGACGCTGTCCATGTGGCACCCGAACGCTTACTGTTGTGGTGCACAAGGTACTATAGTATTAGGCTCGTAGAGTATGCCTTCATTTGAGATACCTGGGGCGATGTCTGCGAAAGTCCCCAGCAAACAGCAGTGGCCTCATTTCAAGCCCGGTACATCTGAAACCTTAGGCATCCACGACTGGTCCAACGAACGCCGCTTCAATTCTGAAACCTGTACTTGGAAACCTGAAAATTTAGGCTCCAGCCCAAAACTATGTAATCGGGCCTTCCAAAGTAGAGAGGGGCCCTTCTGTGTGACCACGGGTTGGAGCAAACGGCACTGGTGCGCTACGAGCGCTGATTTGAAGTGAAGACCAAAAAAAAGATGGTGGTTCTGCAAGGCTCTGTGAAACTGGCGAGTCTCTAGATGGAAGGACAGTTAACTTCTCCTCGCTCCTCATGCTGCATTGCCAAAAAACGATTATCGGGAGCTGCTGCCAATGTGACTGACGGCAAGAAGCAGAGCACTTCTATCTGCTCCGCCCCCGAAACATCACGGGGACATACCTTGTTGCGTTGGAATACTTAGGGCTACCGCTGTACTAACATTAGTTTAGATGATACCTGCTACTACCATTACACTGCCTTCAACTGTACTGCGGTTCCGTACCGAAGCAATCACGAACGCTCGTCGTCCGTACCATAGATCAGCGACTGCTGCTGTGTGAACTTCAAAAAGGCGTGGTACGTACGTACCCATGGTACGGCAGTTGGATATTTTCGGCCAAGTACACTTGGTATGCACCTGTGGCTACATCTCCCCTATACTAAGGAAATAACCGGCAATCAGAAGCAAGAGCAAGCGGTCGGGTGCTGCGGGCAGCAAAGTTCAGCGCGGGTACTTGTCGCTGGTGGGGTGTGGGATGAGGGAGCCAACTCGTCAACTACTAGGCACCAAGACGAGGCCAACCATTGAGTCAGGTACAAAATTGATTCCTGTCTCGGGGGGGAAGATGATGATATATTCATCCACAAACGTTTCCATGTGGAAGGAAGGGAGCGAGGCGATGGACGGAACTTCGTGCCAAACGTGGATAGGAGATCGTGCGCTTGTACATCGCAAATGCAATAAGATAAACACAGAGCGCCACGGAAGCGTCGGTGCACAGGAAATAACCAGCTCGAATAGGCACAATAAATGTACAGCTGCTGCAGATGGAGAACATGATCAAACCGCGCGCGCTTGGGTGTATAAAAAGCCGTATAATACAACAGGTGCACGCAACAGCAGTCTTGTACAAAAACCGCTTCATTGCATAGGTATACCTTAGAGGACAAAGGAAGGTGTGCACTCTACTACCAAAAAACTTGCGGCAGGAGAAAAAAAGCACACTCGCCGCCATCAGACAATCGCGGCTGCTGCTGCTGCTGCGGCACGCAAACTACAGCTAGTATTTTGCCCGTCCAACCGAAAAGTGCCCCTGTCTGCTGTGGGGACCGCTCGCTTCCCGCAATTTTCACTCACAGGCCGGCAGGACCTGGTGTACGGTGTACACAAGACTGTGAGGTTATGTTTCCAAGAAGACGTGCGTTGCGCCACGCGGTCCGCTGCCAAGCACAAATGAGTCTCGAAGCCAGACACAGCAGTCAAGCTTCCGTCTGTGACAAAACCCTTGCGTTATTTTCACATGTCTACGAGCATGTTGAGTGGCTGATGAGCGTGGGTATAACAAGGGGTTCATGAGGATGAATGCTGCTGTGTTCACATGTAATGTGTGCTGCCATAATTTGATTTCCGGCCCTTTCCGATCACCACCACTGCACCATTGCGGTACGTACTGGCTGGCTGGCTTGCGACCATGTGCTTGATCGCTAGACAAGCCCGAGCAGTATGCTCACACATGCCTTGGGTGTCAAACCAACTTGTAGAAGGAAGCCACTTTGCTTCTTTGCCTCATGGCAGCAGCAGCACGGTAGCAGCGGCAGCAGAGAGAGAGGCAGCAGGTGTGCGGACCAGGATGTCTCCAACGAAAATAGCGCAGAGTCGAACACACCGGCAGATTATAGGTGTTGTGTCTACATGGGAACAAAGAGGCTGGTACAAAACAGCAGCTTCTATGCCTACGGGATGAAGAGAACCTCCTCTCATTAAATATACCTTGGCTAGGTTGCAATAGGAGTCTCGATCTGATGCGCTTTTTCTGCCCAGCATTCGGCTATTTCCGTCTGAAGAAAAAAAAAAAAAGACGCGAGACACACGTGCGCCAAAAAAATACCTCCGTCATGTTTTACGTTCGATCGGTCAACAGGGTGCCCAAGCAGCAACAACAGCAGACGCCAGGGGGAGGTGTGGAGGTCCACAGCAGCGACCGCCGGGTGAGCATACCGTTGCTGTAGACACTCTCCAGCAGCAATCTGGTGAGAGCGGATATCCAACGGATATGAGATTCTCCAGGTTCCAAAAACGCACGACAGCGACCACTCCTGACAGTAAAAAAACGAACACATGGAGCAAAACATCCACGCCGCCTAAAACGCCCCTGTTGTCTACCTCTTGGTGTGCCGAAATATGTACCGGTTCCCACACCTAGGGCGACAACATGGGTCGATATCTCCTCAAGCGTCCTCTCTCAGAGATGAGTCTACCACTACCACACACCTCCTCGAGCAAAGCTGTTCCTCTTCCTCCGCTGTTTCCCGAGGATGAGAAGAGTGTATCCGCTATCCGGCTTTGCTGGTGATAGCAAGATGTCCTGAAGGAGCAGGCAGTGGGGGGGTTGGCGCACGTCCCGACTCACGAAGACGCTAGCTCGTCCTTTTCTCCTGTCGGTCTTCGCTGAAACTTGTCACACCAAAGGCCAGAGGCTTGGCGGTGGCAGTCACAGCAGTCCAGAGGCACCCGTCCTGGTTCGGGATTCGGGGGTACGTGGATTCGTGGTATTTCGTGCAAGTAAACCAGAGGGTACCAGTGGTGCGTGGTCCGGGCCCGTTTTGACTGCACTATCTTTTTTTTTTGGGGGGGTCCTGTCTCGGTGTGTGTGTGCTTGTCGAGCCTTCAATCAACGATCGACCGATCGTGTTTACTTCTCTGCGAGTGGGCGCGCGATTGTACCGAGCTGTTTTGCGGCCGAATGGAAGTTGTATTTTCTCCATTATTGATGATCAATTAGTCTTGGATCAGCACCCACTATGTTTTGTGTCCAATTTTATTGTGCCCAGAGCCCTCGGCCGGACACGTTCGTTCGTTCGCTGTTGAGACATCTTGCACCTCTGGTATCGCAACACACGCAGGGTCGAACTTATGCGCATGTGTGTTTGTGTTTTCATCCTATTTATTTCGGCGACAGTCCCCCCATTTTTCGTGATGAGACGAGGACTATACTTTTTCAGCGTAAATTACGTAGAGTATTACACATTTCAGTGTAATTCGTACAATTAATTCCAATCTTCCAGGGTTACACAGGAGGGGCAAACACCAGGGCTTTTTCCTTCTTTATGTTTATTTTCATGCCTCACCTTCCTCCTGCGGCGCGTGTTTAATTTTTATTTTTATCTCGAGAAGGGTCCAGCCGTCCCTTTCCCTCGTCAACGGTGCTAACGTCGAAGTTTGGTGCTCACGAGAGCTTTTTCAGCTATATATATTTCGCCCCATGGGAGTTCGAACGCACGACCTCTACGATTAGCGGTATACGAAGATACCACTAGACCATCGGGGCGGCCGGCTTACTTGCGTACGTTTAATCGAATCGTCCAATAACGACTTCTCCCTTCTTCCCCTCGCTCCTCGACAAGCTTTTGCTTAGACATGGGTTGTAGNCAGCAACACGCTGTGAAGCTTGCTACAGCAGCAGCAGACAGCGGAAGTTGTTGTGCAGACTGCTTCACGTGTAGACTACAAACAACCAATTTGAAGTTTCACCTGCATGTCGAGGTTCGCAAGCAGCGACGCCTGGTGCTGTCCGCATGTCCGGGCGGCATCCGAGTCCTCCCGCCAGGTCACCAGGGGAGCCGTGTGTTTGCATCCCTTGCCCATCGCCAGCTCCTTCGCACGGGTAGCGATGTAAGCTCGGATGCTTTCCGGGTCCTTCATGGCAGCGTCCAAAAGCTTGAGGACGTCGGGCTCCTGACTCGCGCTGGGCGGGTCTCCCATCAACCCCTCTAGCTCTTCCCCCACAACCGGGTCGTCAAACAGCGGGTCGTACTCGCTCTCTGGCGCTGAACCAATGCAACGTGCGGTCATCGACCGGGAGGCGGGGGCAGCAGCACCTCCTGTCTCGCCGCTGCTGGTTTCCTCGCGTTGTGTGTCACCGCTGATCGACACCCGGGCCCGCTTGGCATCAGGACTGCTGCTAGCCTCCATATGACGTACTGCTGTGTAGCGTTGCGCTTTATTGAGGTCGTTAGGGCGCTTACAAGCCGCTGTGGAGGGTATGGAACGGCCTGCGTCTTTTTGGTAGTGTTTTTGCCCATCCCCTACCCCCCCCCCAAGAACGCGGAGTTTCGACGGTTTCATGAATAAAAAATGTTACGGTTCAGGGGGGCCATTTTCCCACTGTTGTCAGGGCCCCCTTAATGTGAAGTCAACAACAACAACAACAATAACCACGAACGACCACGACAGTGAAATCGAAGAAAACGAAAAAAAAAAAACACTCCTCAAAGGAAGCGAATGTATTGTATTGTACTCGTTCGTGGTATGCAGCAGAAACGAGCCACACAAATGGCGGTTCGAAAAACAATGGACGGGCGGCCTTTGATCTCAACATTAGTCGGCCTTTTCACTACACTCTGCTTGTTGTATCTAAGACGCCACCACGGCGTTGTCTGACGTTCGGATCAGAGCTACCGCTGTTGTAACGCGTGGGCCCGACCTTGGTATGTTCTCCGGTTTCATGTCGTGATTTTCCGTCAATCGATTCCTGTCATCGCTGTTGAAACGCTCGAGAAACTGGTGGTTGATGTAGTAACTCATGACGTTGTTGTTGTTGTTGTTGCAGCTCTGTTGATGTTGACTTCACATTAAACCGTATGCCAGTTGCTAAATGCCAAAATCTAGCAAAGACTCTCAGCCCGTGGTCACGAAAGTGCTAGAGCCATCTGAGGATCTAAAGAACACGCACACGTAGCAAGAAAAAGGTATCCAAGAGCCCGAAGAGGTACTACTACACCTATATATAATCCCTGCAGCACCGTACGCGTGCCCAAAACTGAACTACACGTCCGTCTCACCGTTCGACTACAGCAACATCACCCCCTACCTGTCCCACTCTGTACCAAAACGAATGATTGCCGACTACAGCATACTTGCTGTCTGAAGTGCTGTCTGTACAAAAACACCATGGTAGGCATGGAACAAGAAGCTGGCGGGGCACAAAGCTGCTGTCTGAAGTGCTGTCAGAATGTGTCTGCGGACGTACAGTGAAAAAGAACAACCAACCAAAGCCATGATTGCAATGGACAATCACCCGAACCTCTCCCGATCGTCTGTGTTAGGCACGCAGTGAAAATATCGACAATAGCTAAGAATCGTTCCACATTGAAGGGGTCTTCCACGATCAGGCACATAACCAAGGCACCCGGGTTAGCCACGCCATCTCTGACGGGTCTCTCTACAAAACCAGTGACGACGTCATCACATAGAACCAACACCGAAAATCAGGAAAAAAACGAGAAAAATTGACAACACAGATCATACACAAATGTTTGTCTGTGCGCCACGGGTCGATGTCGCCCGCATGCTCCGGTGCCGCTGCTCCGTCCGGCGCCGCTGTAGTCAGCCCGAGCATAACGCCACTCGACCTGCTCCGTCCGTACACGCTCTCGTTGCTGTCCTTCCCAGTCGGTTCCTCGCTTTCTCCCTCGTTGCACTCAAGGTTCTTGGTCTGAAAAATAAAAATTCTCGCGCCGAAGGGGTCAACCAGCCCAGTTCAGCTCGTCGCCACCTGCTCCCTCCTCCTTTGATGGCGAAGCCAGGTTACTGAGGCAATGCAGCGCCCTCTAGCCAACCTAGGGCCGTGTACATAGTTCCCGTCCACCTTCTGACGGTGTCTGCCTCCGCGCACAAAAAATGAGATGGGCATCGCTGCCTACGCCGACGGCCAGAGGCCCGCGCATCTACATTTTTTCGCCTGACCCCATCAGTGCCGACCCAACTACACCACCACGCGCATGCCTCGCGGCGGATATGCGCAGCAGCAAGAAGGTTTCGGTCATCCCTTGAGGGTGAGTCTAGCCCTGCTCGCCAGAAAGACCCCCCCCTTCGCTACAACCCATGTCTAAGCAAAAGCTTGTCGAGGAGCGAGGGGAAGAAGGGAGAAGTCGTGGGACTGTACAAAAAGCTGCCACATCCGCCATGGAAAGTACCGGACGCACACTTCTTGGGTCCGACACTGTCGGTTGAAGAGTGTCCAACACTGAAGTAAGGGGTTTGTGTTGTTTCGAGGGGCTGGCACGACATGTCCGGAACAGTTAGTTTCGGAGAGCGGCACATCGGAAACCGACGTTGTGATGCCTCACGTGCTGCAGCTGTGAATGTCTCACGCGGGAACAACAACAATTAGACTAGGGTACAAATAAAGGTAACACTCTCTTTTGGCTAGCAAGACTTACCGCGGTGTTCATCGCAGGTCTGTGGTGTGACCGCGACGGTGTTTCATGCCGAAGGCTTGAAGGCGTCGGTTTTACATAGTAGAAACGTTGCAATGTGTGATGCCCTGCCGTGCCTGGCCTTGGCGATCCTCAGCTTGGAAAGAATAGCCACACACATCGGCTAACCAACACGCGAATCGCGCCCACAGGAGCAAGGGTATAACCGTCTACGATATAGAGGTAACAATGAGTCTTTTGTTGCACAACGCGTGCCTCACGGCCCGCCACTCCCACCCCTGCTCCTTCCCGCCGCACCGCTCTTGGCCAATTCCTCCACCTCGCGCCGCAAGCTTTCCGCCACCGGCCGCAGCCAACCGCCCTCCGCGCGTACCTTTCCCCCGGAATCCAACCGAGCTCTTACCATGCCCATCCTCACCAGCAGCGCTCGGCGCGACGAGGTATCCGTGGCGGTATCGTGCTCGCTACAACCGCCCAGCGACAGCAGCGCGGTTTGAGCAGGGGTGGTGACGTCCAAACTACGTGGCGCGCCGATTGAGGTAGGTGTTGGCCCTTCCTCGTTGCCAGGGTCCACCGCAGAAATACTACTGTTATCCGATATTGTCGACGGGAAGCCGCCTTGTCCGACGGCGTTTTTGTTGCCGCGGTTATCGGCCGCCGAGGAAAGCAAGGCTTTCGATGGCTTTCCATCGACAGGACGGTCGACACCAGCCCCCATTTCACCACCATCATTGCCGCTGCCGCCAATCCCACTGTGAGTGGTTCTTGCTTCTTGCTTGGCGAGGGCTTGGTGCAGCGCCGCGAGCTCGCGCTTGTCTCTACGCCGCTGGCGCGCGCGTTCCTGCAAGGCTCGCAAGCGCCGCTCGGCCTTGGCTACACGCGCCTGCGAAAAAAAGAGGTCGGGAGACGGGGGAAGGATTAGAGGTTCACAGTGTTTCCATCCTGCAGAAACTTGCCCGATGATGGAAGACAAGGGCATGCCGAAATCTCGCTGTTCTTCGAACACGATTCGTCGTGGAAAGAAAGGAGCACTACAACCTGCCGAGACGCGGAAAACGTTGTTGAGAATGTACTCATTTCTCACGGAAGCGTACACGGCTGCTTATCGCATTGTATCCAACAATTTCCTCGCACTCTCAGCGGTCCAGGTCGATCCGTTCACAATGCGAACGATCCCGACCCCTGTCATAAATCTCTTCCCGACAGAAGGCCCTCAACTGCCAGAACGAGACTGGACGCGACAGTCAACAAATCAAGTTGCACGCGACAACGTACAATATTTGTGCAACATCGCGCAACCGCCTAAAACGGCATCAAAGCCCACTTTCGAAACGGCACCATGCACTGCAACACCGATGCACCCTCTGTAGGGCCTAAACCGTGTGCCTTACCTCAAGGTCTGCCTCCTCTGTCTCGTAGGGGGTTGCTGCCCGGTCAAAACCGGAGGCCGCAGTCGGCGATTGCTGTTGAGCAACCGAGCCACTTCCCACCGCGGAATCTGCGATCGACTCAGGTGAAGAAGGAGAAGAATGGGTCGCTTGGGGGGCGGAGATGGCGGCGGCGGTGGCGGTGGCGACGGCGGCGGCGGCGGCGGCCGCGGCGTTAGCATCCACAACGATCCGGGTGTTGTCCACCTCTCGCCCGTTCTGGACACCCGGACGGCCAGTCCGCGCTGCTGCAGCCGCCACCGCCGTCCTCGCCGCTTCCTCAGAAAAAGATGGACAAGAATCACCTTCGAAGGCACCACCGGCTCCTGCTTCCCCGGCTGGCAGGGCAGAGGCTGCTGGAAGTGGCGACCCAACATACACGGGAAGAGGCATGATCTCGCTATCGAACCGCGGTGTAGTGGGTCGTACACATGAGGGAGGCGAAGAACTGCTGCTCTGGCATGTACAGCTGGCGGCGGTGGGTGCGCCATGGACGCCTCTGGCCCCTCCTCCCGGCGTAGAGGTCGTGTGCTCTTGGGACGGGGCTGGTTGCGTTGGTCGCGCGGTTGCTGGAAGGGGCGGTACCTCCGTCGGATGCTGGAGCAAGCCTTCTTGTTGTTGGTTGCCTCTGGTACCTGCACTCCTCTCCCACTGCTGCCCCACAGACGGAGAAGCCGCACTTATAACGGGCGCCGACCCTTGTCCAGACGCAGCCGCCATCTCTCCCCTGCTTGCCCCCGAAAACGTCGACTTTCTAGGGGCGAATAGATGACCGCCACTGTCTGTGGACCGACCGTTCCCATCTCTGCCTGGGAGACACGCAACTTGTCGGGGTTGCCCGCAGTCTACATGCCCTGCGCTCCGGAACATCGCCGCCCGTTCTCGACGGCCTCGGTCGCCACCGATGACGGCACTGGAACCTCCCCCAGCAACTGCGAGGCCGTTGTTAACGCTACCGCCCGCGCCAAAAAGGCGGTTCATCTCGTCCACTACCCATGTCGACAGCGGTGGGGCTACTCCCCCGCCGCGCTGACCTCGGTTTTCGCTGGCGGTTGCGGCGAAGCGGGAGGTCTCATCAAGCAGGAGCTCCAGAGGGCGTCGCGGAGCAGGCCGCCGTCGTCCAGCACCCCCCCCCCCCCC